TTTGCTTATATAATTTTCAAATTAAATTTTATAAATAATCGGAAGATTTAGAGTAGAAAGAGACCCTCAGGTTTATTTTTTAGGAACTAAGATCGATAACCAGTTCAGCTATATTGAAGTATGTAAGTATATAATAATAAATGTTTATAGCTATTGCAATAACAATTTTAAATAGCTCTAAAAATTTGTGAGAATGAGGGCACCATTGGGGCTTATATGAGTGCTAAACTTCAGCCGGATGGGTTCAATAGTTCATGTCAAAATCTAATTCTTTATCCCAGAGACAAATTATTTAAACAACAAAAGTAAAATGGACTCTTGAAGGTTTCAACTTCAAGAATTTGTGCACAAAACTGATTATTTATTTCAAAATGGTTGTTAAAAAGGATTTGAAAAAATAGCCATTTTTATAGTTATAAACATCTAAAATAACCACGTTATTTTTCAATATAATTTATTTAAAAAAGCTTTCTGCGACCAATAGGAGCCAAGATACATTTTTTTTAAATACATATTCTTTTGTTTATAGACATTGAGACTCGAAATTTTCAGAGATTTCAATAAAGGATCTTCATTTTCTGTAAAATGCTGTAAAATCATGCATTACCTAGTAGAACCTTCTTATTTTTTAATTTGGGTAACTCGCCGAAATAATGACATCTGACACAATAATAGTAAAGTTATAAATTGGATCATAAAATTTGTGAAAGTTTCGAGTCTTAATGTTTATAAACAAAGGTAGATATGAATTTAAAAATAAAATATCTGGGCTTCTGTTTCCATAACAACTTGTTAAAATAAATTATTTTGAAAAATAACGACGCTATTGTGACTATAACTATACAGCATTTTAAACAATTTTGAAATATATAATCTTTTTTTTGCATAAACTTTTGTAGTTTAAAGCATCAAGATTCCATTTTACTTCTGTGAAATGTTCTTGGACCATATTTTGAGCAAGAATAGTTGTTTAAATAATTCATCGCTGGGATAAACAAGTAGCTTTACACATAAACCATTAAAGCGATCCAGCTGAAATTTAACATACTCATTAGCACCAATTAAGCCCTCATTCGCACATCTTTTCGCCATTTACAATTGTTATTGCAATCGATATAAACATCTATTCAATATTGCTAAAAAGTACCGTATTTCGCTTAATTGTGTATCGACTTTAATTCTTAAAAAACAAAATTAAAGGTCTTTTTATGCCCTAAAATCTGCAGTTTATCTTTCGACACTGCTTATAAAAAACAACGCATATCTGGCTATACCTTCTTGTCATTAGAGCCCGCTTCCAGTTAAAAGTCAGATATCTGCTAAACCTTTTTTCACATTTTTTTTAGCTAGCCTGGACTATATATGAGGCTACTTTACTAGGGTGCTTGGCTGGTTTCAGGATCGTTTCTATCGTTAACGAGTAAAAATTGAAACCACCTAGCTAAAAAGCATAACAAAATCTAAAAAAATGTCCTTTTAAGGATGGGATTGAACGTCACGTGTACCTAAAGGGGTATTATTAACTCTAATTATTTTATATTCTTCGGCAATGGCCTTCATCAATTAGTGGAAACGAGAAATTATATTGTAATTTGCCGTAAAAAGTTTCGAATTACAGAAGGAATTCGATTCTTTTCATTACCCACTGAAAGCCCTTACATTTTTGTATTTTTTCCACCAATTAAAAGAACAGGAGTAACGTATTCAACTCGAGCAGTGGAATCAACTCTCAACGGACCGGCTGAATAATAAAACGTGATTAGAACCTCTGTGTAACCGGAAACTGCCCCATTAACAATGAATATACCCTAGGAATCCAAAGATTTTGTTAGATGAAATCCTACGAGAATATTTATATAAGATCTCTAATTGAAAATTACAAATTCATTTTGGATAGCTCCACAAACTAGTGAAAAATGAAGAGCAATTCCACGTACCGCGGACTGACAATCAAGAGACGTTCTTCGACATTTTCTGTAATACTGATAAAAAATGGCGTCAAATAGGTTGACTTTGCACTTCTATGCGCGAATGCATGGAGGATAAAGTTCAGTACAATTCAAATCCCCTGAAAACAAAATTAGGAACACGACCAACAGCGAAATTAAACGAATCAACAACAGGCCCACACAATTAGTTCATCGACATTATTTCCCTGTCCTACCGGTAGATATTGTTCATCTGGCAACGTTGTCCCTTCCCACATCCACGCGGCGGCGCCCATCGCGTACCGCAGCAGCGAATTATCGTTCATTACGTCTATACGTTTTGTGCGCTGAAGTGTTAGTTAGCACGAGTACGTGTATAGAAATCATTTTTTAGCGCCAAATGTACGGGGATGTGTGAAATATGGCTGATAGGTGCATAGAATACACGAGGTTGGGACCATACAAATATACTGATATCAATAAAATTTCATACACTCTCCTCCAACCCTCGCACTTCAACCCCTGTAAATTTTTTTTCTGAAAATGATCAGGAGCCTCAAAACGCCAAAAAAGAAAGTTTAGGCCCAATTTCACCAACATTAATATTATAGACCAATGGGAAAATACCTTATCAAAATGCAATTTTACAGAAGCTGTCAAATGTCTCAGAATATCAGTGATTTCTATCAAAATATTACATAAAATCGTGAAAATTCGACTGTATTATCAACAAGATCACTTTTTGATTCCAACACGATGCTTTTGTACAGAAAAAACAGGACAACTTTCATGTATTTTGATATATATTATAGGTTTACATCTGACAATCCGCTATCCTCTCAGCGAATGGGAATGGGAGAAATAATAGGTCGATTTTCTAGCTGTTAAATTTGGCAGCAGGTTTTAACGTTTGTTAGTTCATGGCAATCTCGAATTTTTCAAGCTCAGTATACTGAGTGTTATCATACATACATGTTGAATAGTGTGGATTTGTCTGTATTTTGCAAGAAAATATAATATCAAAAACATTCCATCCAATTCCTCATACTTTCTTTATTAATTTATGGGTTAAGGATTTCTTCAAAGCAATAAAAACATTATGTCCTCTCCATCCTAAAACACAGATAATGTATGTAAGACGTGTCATATCCCTACATGATTGTCTTTTTGACTGGTGGGGATATCTATCGTCATCCGCAGGGTTTCCAAGTCTAACGACGATCTTTCTTGTGCAGAATTACATACTACACTGTCGTGTACAGCTAAATCTGCACTAACCCCGAAATACGTGGTTATGTTGAGTGTACCATGAACTATCACCGATGGTGCGACTGATACACTGAAATTAAAATAAAAAAACTGCAACTGCAATGTATGAATAAAATCTTGAACAGTTTCGGACCAGTGGTGTAAAAATGTCGTTGAGGAATTGGAAGTGTATGAATGTATTGAAACGCAACACCTAACACATTTTGAGCGAAAAGGCTTTTTCATGTAAGAATTTGGAAGTGCAACTTTGCAAAGGTAGGATAAATATGAACACCCAGTAGGTGATGTTGAGTTAATATAATCACATATGGATTACAAAAGTTGCAATAAACATGGAGAAACCTTCAGCTAAACTGAACAAAATGGATTTTACTCAGCCATCAAGCATTCTTTTTTTAATTTTCGCTCAGTTTTATATAATTTCATAATATTTAATAAACTGAAAACATTTCAATGGCAAGCTGTCACTTCATATTTTACAGTGTTTTCTTTTGAATACTTTCATGCTATTTGCTGCCAAAAATTTGACGAACAGATCTTGAGGCTGATTGGGTATATCTGTGGGACTGTTTAGTACTTGTACCTTATTGGTACAAAATAACGGTTTGTCAAATGGTGCAATCGGCACTTTGACGGTTTTCATGTTTTCCATTTTTTGCCTCCTCCGCCACTGAATCGCTTTTCAAACACTAGCAGACACACCGACGGAAAGGTATAACATGGTTTTCGGTGACGTATATGCCAAATAACACTCAAAAGCAATGATATCTCAGTCACGGATTGATAAAGATGGAAAGTGAATTGATTTTCAGTCACACAATGCCGTGAAGAAAAGGAAAATATTGTGTGAGACGCATTCGCATGAAAACTCATTCTTCCATATGATACAAACAAGAACATTCTGTAGCTGAAAAAGAACTAGTTGCTTTTCAAAACGGTTCCCCGCAGGGCATTCTTTGAACGGCTAAAGTTACCGAGCTGAAATTCAGAATGATGAAATTGACGCATGAATATACTAGCGTAAAGGTGATAGTGAAAATTTCAAGATAGCGATTAGGCGCTATACAGGGTGGCGCATCGAAAACGAAACAGACGCATTTACTAGCATCTCAGTTTTTTTTTTGGAAAAACGCTCAGACCCATCGATTTTGCTTTCGAGGGGGACACAAGTCTGGCAAAAAATCACGTATGCACGTGCAGCCCCCTAAGCGGGGGTGACACCACCCCAAAAATCTTAAACGGAAAGGGGGGTCGATGATAACTTATTTTAAATGTCTTTCAATTTCCTTTAAAATGATATAAAATTAATATACTTCAGTTTAGTAGTTTCGAATACTTATTGATTTAAAGCTTAAATAAAACTAATATATCATCATTAGCGGAGATCAATACATTTGGCAGCAAAGTAATTTAAAAATGAAGAATGAACTGACCCGTTAGGCAAGTAAATGTTTAAAATGGCCGCCATGACTCCCCATGCAATAATAAAGATTTTGGTCAAAACGTTGCCGTACATTTTGCAATATTTGAGGAGTAATTTGAAGGCACTCATTCACAGTTCTTTGTCGCAGGTCTTCTAATGATGTTGGCTGAGTAACATGGATTTTGCTTTTTAAATGACCCCACATAAAGAAATCCAAAGGTGATATATATGGCGATCTTGGGAGCCATTCAATGTCATCTCATCTACCAATCCATCGATCTGGAAACGTCTAATCTAAATATTGTACATTTCACCGGTCAAATTTCCATCTAAGAAAAAAGGACCAACTAAATGATCGCCAAAAATACCAGCCCAAACATTTAATTTTTGTGGCTGCTGTATATGAACCTCATGATAAATTCTGGGATCAGAATCGGACCAGTATCGACAGTTATGATGATTTACTACGCCATTTAAGAAAAAGGAACATTCGTCGGAAAAGCAAGTAAGTGTTGAATAGAAAATATTCATCGTTTATAATTCGTTCACTCATATCTTCACAAAATAATTGTAATCGCCGATCAAAATCGTCTTCATTAACCTTCAACCGACCGCTGGCGATATTCGTTCCTAATTTTTCCCCACTACTATCTGTCGTTCACGCGTATGAGTTTTAGTACCTTCCTATTAGTACAACAGCAGCGCTAGAGTAGTGTAGTCGTGTTTATTTGAGCGTTAGTTTTTTCGTAATAAAAGAAAGCGGTCCGTGGTACCTCACAGCGGCATAAGTGTAAAGTGTCTGGGTGTGTACAACATTTTTGTATTGTTAATAAAAATGGCTTCTGGACATGTTTCCGACGGTGTAAACTTTGCTGACTCCGATTTCGAAGCCAAGGTCATGCGCATTCTCGAATCACCAGACTCAGATGTGGAAATGTCCGACCAAGATGAAGATTATGTTGAAGAAAGTGAACATGATACCGATTCCGAATTAGATCTAGAACCGAATGAAGAGTTTGATCCATCCAATACTCAATCAGTAAGGTAAAGTCGCCTAATATGAGACCGTTCCTAATATGAGACCCTAGATGATCGTCTCTGTAGAGTCCTGTAAGCCCACATTCATATGATTTACAGGTTACTAGTGGTATAGTACGGGCCCTCTCCTCTAGATGGCGCAATATTTCGTTTAACAGCTGTTTAATGCGAGATTTGTTAAAATTTGTACTGTGAAGTTTTTTACCGTTTTCCCTTTATATATTTACTTTATCATCATGGTAAGTATATTTTGGTTTGTAATATGATTTGTATGTAGTACAACAAATGTAGTCTTATTCCCACCTTTTCTTTATCCATTCGAAATACAACAAACTAACCTATAAATTTTTTTCTAAATGTGTTGTTGGTTCCAAATATGAGACCCTCTGGGGTTCCCATTATGAGGAGGGTCTCATATTAGGACCCCGATATTTATATAGAATTTTTTCAGGGGAGTTCTTCTAAACGTCGTAAACAATGGAACAAGGGGCAAATGGTGTTGGCGATTAAAGCAGTTCGAACTCATGTCATGGGTTACAAGACAGCGGCGAAACATTTTCAAGTACCGAAAGGTACCCTTGAACGTTATGTTAAAAACATTAATTTTTCTCCTGAAGAACTCGTTCGTACAACACTTGGTAGAAAACCTGCTTTAGGAAAAGCTATCGAGGATGAGCTAGTTCGATACTGTCTCGATATGGATAATAGGTTTTTTGGTCTGCGAAGATCTGATGTAAAACGCATGGCCTTCGAGTTGGCAATTGCTAATAATATCCAGCACCCATTTTCACAGGAAAAAGGCGTTGCAGGAAAAAAATGGCTTAGAGGATTTTTCAAACGTAATCGTCAGCTGTCTGTTAGGTCACCTCAAGGCATGTCCAATGCCAGAATACGGGGATTCAATCAAGAAAGCGTTGCTTCATTCTTCGATTTGTACGAAAAGGAATTATCGAAAATCAATTTTGCACCACAAAGGTTGTTTAACGTGGATGAGACAGGGATTAGTGTGGTGCAACATAAAAGAAGTAAGGTCATTTCTGCTAAAGGTAAAAAGCAAGTAGCAACACTTACATCAGCTGAAAGGGGAGGCCTTATTACAGTGGTGACATGCATGAATGCCGTAGGAACTTACGTACCGCCTTTAATTGTGTGGCCTAGAAAAAATATGAAAATTGAATTGATGGACGGTGCGCCAACCGGTTCCATTTACGCATGTCACCCTTCTGGATGGATTCAAGCCGAAATATTTACACAATGGTTTGACCATTTTATTAAATTCACAAAGCCAACACCATCAGATCCTGTGTTATTGGTGCTCGATGGACACTACTCCCATACGCGTAACATAGACGTAATAAATAAAGCTAGAGAAAACCACGTATCAATTGTTTGCCTACCTCCCCACAGCACACATCGCATGCAACCGTTGGATGTAGGATTCATGGGGCCTCTGAAAACGTACTATGCTCAGGAAATTGAGACTTGGCTGCGAAACAACCCTGATCGTATTGTCACGCCATTTATCATTGCAAGACTATTTTCAGTTGCATATAACAGAGCAGCCACTATGGAGGTTTCGGTGAACTCGTTTAGAACAACGGGACTATTTCCGCTTAATAGAAATATTTTCCGAGATCATGATTTCTCAGTGTTCGAAGTTGAGGAGAAATTAACAGTCCCTGAAGATACTGTAAGTCGTCCTCCACCGGGATCTTCCACAGAATCTAGAAACATTGAATATACTTCAGGAAAATCAGAAGGTATCAGTTGCATTAAAACAGCTTTAGATAATCCCCGTCCAGGAACTTCCAAAGATTCTAGCGATATTGAGGATGCCGCAGATGATCCACGGCCGGGAAATTCAAAAGAGTCCAATGATCAGGGGGCTGTAAATAGTTCTCGTAAAGCCGTCAAATACCTTTCAGAACCTACAAAGCTTGTCAGTCCAGTGCAGATAAAACCTCTTCCCAAAATAAAGAGCAAGAAGCCCAGTGCTCGTGCAGGCAGTGCAGCATTGATTACCTCATCTCCTTACAAAGATGATTTAACAGAAAGTTTGGATAAGAAACGTAAAAAGGAAGATTCCGCAAAACATAGCAAAGTTACATCAGTTACAAAGAAGGTTAAGTTTGACGATGCAAGGGAAGCAAAGTTTCGCAAACCAAAAAGTACTAAACGGTTTAAAATGAAGAGGGCCGATTTAAGTGACAGCTCAACTGATGAAAGCGATGACTTGGGAGAAGTTGTTGTTGATGATGAGAGTGATGGTGACGAAAATTATGACGCAGAATGCCTCTTCTGCACAAGCATGTATTCTGCAGACAAGCATGGTGAACAGTGGGTTAGGTGTACAGTGTGCTACAGATGGGCCCATGAAGATTGTGGTGCAGAAGATCCTATCTTTGTGTGCCCAATGTGTGAAAAAAGACAGAAAAAGTAACTATATAATGTATTTTTATGGTCTATTTACTCTAAATAATGTTATTTGGAAAGAAATTTATAGGGTCTCATATTAGGAACCCAATTTTTTTTAGTTACTTTTTACATTTTATGAGTATTGGAGCTTTATTTGAAAAAATAAATAAAAAGTACATTTTCTTTCCGTGTTTTTTAAAGCATAAACACTTACCAATAAAACAAATCAGTAATAACTTAAAATTTGTTATTTTTACAGAAATTACAGATGTTTTCCAAAATGGGTCTCATATTAGGCGACTTTACCCTACAAGTGACTGACAACGACTCATCGGATAACGAAAACCCGAATTATAATTATGGTAAAAACTGTTTTAAATAGTCTTATACCGAACCAAAACGAAATATCCGAACTCCAGCACATAATATTTTAAAATTACCTGGAATTCGTGTTCCGCAAAATGAAAATGAAGTGTTTGATCCAGTTTTTGCTTGGAACTATATTTTCAACGAAAACATGTTGCATTGCGACTACCATATGAAACTGAGATCTTCAATTGCACGAGCTTTGGGAAATCAAGATGTTCCGGCACAAGAGGACCATGGTGTCGACAAGTTGGCCAGGAACCAAAGAAAAACGTGCCACATCTGTCCCCCAAAGAGGAAAAGAAAAACCGTATATTTATGTTGTATTTGCAAGAAACCAATCTGCCTGAAATGTTCAAAAAAATATGCGGTAGCTGTGTTAGTAAAGACTAGGTGTTCTTATAAAGTAATTTGTAGATTACAGTAAATTCTGTTATTTCTTGCTCTGCACGTTTTTTTATTTTGGATGTTATAGAGCTTATATTTGTGCAAAATAGTTCTTTAGGATGTAGTATTTCATAATATGATAAATAATTTCCAGTTTTAATGTTTTTTAGACATTTATAACTACAATAAATAAGGTTGGTAAATTAATATACACAAAACTGTATGCTGTAAAAGTTAAAAATAAATGTTTTAGTCGGACTTCACATGTTTTTTTAAATATAGTACATAAATAAGGACTCAATCTATAGTATATTCCAAGAAAATAGTGTTTCTTAAAACAGTCAGCGAAAATATATTTTTTTTATTTTGCGGTCCCACGGACCTCTCGAAGGCGGTTGTGCACAAAATAGTCACGACGTCGGTTAAGGGTTAAGTTCTTGTACCAGGTTTGATTTTATACGGATGAAAACATTGGGCCTTTAGAATCCGTTTGACAGTACGTCGACTAACACCACACACAGTCTCCAATTTCCGGGTACATAACGTAGGAACTACATAAACTTGCCCTAAAACCCCCACTTCTATTGCTCCCTTCCTTATGGGATTTTCAATGTTGCGTTTTTTATTGGCGACTGACCCAGTTTCCCGAAATTTAGCTACAAGTTCTAGAACATATTTTCGATGAACGTTACTATTCTCATGCCGCTCATTAAATATTTCTGCTGTTCTATTAGCGCACTGATTATTTCTGAAAAATATTTCGATAATTTCAACTCTTTCTGCTGTGGAATATACCATGGTTAATTTATGTAATAAAACGTTACAAGTTATTTTAGCAACAAAGTTTGGTCAAATCAATCGCAAACTATGTACTAAATTCCTACTTAAAATAAGTACGAGATATTTCCTTATCTTTCTTCAAGAAATAAATTTTTTGCCACAAAAAATGCTCCAATAGCTATTTTCAATAACAAAATGATAAACCAACCATGGGCGTAGAGAAGAAAAGCATTTACCTATTAAGTAAATTCTTTTAGTCGAATTTCTTCTGAAAGCAGTACAAACTAATCTGATGTACCTATTAAAGTCTACTTTAAGCTTTAAGTCAATAAATCTTCAAAACTACTGAACTGAAGCTCATGTATTTTACATCATTATAAAGGGAATTAAAGGACCTTTGAAATAAGGGATCACTCGACCCCCCTTTCTATTTAAGATTTTACGGTTGGTGTCACCTCCGCCCAGGGAGCTGCATGTGTTAACGTGATTTTTTGCCAAACTTGTGTCCCCCTGGAAAACAAAATCGACGGGTATGAGCGTTTTTCAAAAAAAAAAAACTGAGCAGCCAGTAAATGCGTCTGTTTCGTTTTCGATGCGCCACCCTGTATATAGCCGTAGAGTAATCATCCTTAGGGCCGTACCGTCAGTCGTTTCTACCACTATTGTAGGATGCCTTACGGCCTGCTTGATTCTCATAGTATTTTCTCCCCCTCAGAAAGGCTGGGGTATTTCTAGATTTCTACTGTTGCCATGTCAGCGTCAGCGCTCTCCTATTGTGTGCTCTCTTTTTGAATTGTAGGCTGATATAATAGACGATATAGATAAAAAAATGAACAGTTTGATGCAAATACATATTTCTAACATAACTTCAAAACAGAGCGCTGATCCGAACAGTAGAAAACTATGAAAATCAAGGGGGAATAAAGGCGTCCTACAATTGTAGGAACGGCTGACGATACAACCTTTAGCGAATAAATTTCCAAACTTTGTATATTGGATCGCGTATAACTCAACGACTAATAATAAAAATGGCGTCACGTAGGGTGGCTCTGTCCTTCCCACGCAACGCTGCCATCAGTTCATAGAGGATTATGCTCGGATGAACTGAGAGAAAAGTTTGCTATGAACATGTATAACAAAAACTTAAATGACCTTTCCCCTTCCCCATGAAAGCAATTCCTGCAGGTGCACATGATCGTTATCATGACTAATCCCGCATGGATGACCATATTGACTTTCTCAGTACATACGAGGAATGTTTTTTAAGTTTTGCATATAGAAACATAGTATGCCGCGCGGATCGAACGTCAGTACTGAATCTTAACCTCACTCTTTAGTAAACTTAAAGTTTCACAACAATACGTGCAGTGTTCTCACTACAGTGAATTTTTAAGTGTCACCAAGTCATTAGAAAAATGGCACTCAACCGAGAACATTTCTGGGCCATAATTTATTACAACTTTCAGAGACAATTATCGCAACAAGAATGCCTTGCTGAGTTACTGTCTGTTTTCGGCAACGAAGCGCCACATCAGTCGACAATTTCCCATTGGTATGGAGAACCCAAACGTGGATGGGTGAGTCTTAGCGACGATCCCAGGGTGGGTGCACCAAAAACGGCAGTCAGCCAGGAAAACGTCGATGCTGTGCGCAAACTCATCATTGAAGATAGACATGTGACATATCGCGACATTGAGGCGTCCTTGAAGATCTCAAAGACCTCAATTCAAAAAATTTTACATGAACAATTAGGAGTAAGAAAATTAGTTTCTCGTTGGATACCTGTTGACTGAAGGGCAGAAAGCAGCCTGGGTTAATTGGTGTCAAAAAAAGCCTGACCGCTTCAATTCCGGAAACTCAAATGACGTGTACAGCATTGTTAGTGGTGATGAATCGTGGATTTACTGTTATGGACCAGAAAATAAACGACAGTCGGCTGTTTGGGTGTTCCAAGGTGAAGAAAAGCCAACAAAAGTCATCCAAAAGGAAGGCTGTATTTAACGGAGGAAAACGTGGAATTATTGGTCCATCCTCCATATAGTCCCGATCCGTTTTGGATCTGCCAGCAAACGAGTGGAATAAGTGCTTCGAAAATTGGTTCGAGCGCATGCAGATGTGTATTAATCTTCATGGAGAATACTTCGAAAAACAATAAAGTCATTTAAAGCTACCTACCGCGTTGTTTTATTTCCATGTGCAAAACTTAAAAGACATCCCTCTTACCCCACAGCAGCGAAGGGATTGCAACTCACCATCGTTTGGACTGCATATTAGTAAATACCCAACGCGTTATATGCCAAAAGTAGCTTCATGTTCACCAGACGTATCGGACTTCTGTACCCGTCGCATGATCCTCTCAAAGTAGCTTCATTCAATTAAGTTTTTTAACCTGACGTATCAGACTAATTCATCATCTATTTACTAATATACCAACCCAATGAAACAAAATGGTTATTTATTTGTTCCTTTCCATTTTCTTCACCATAATCTCTACAATGAGAATACCCTGTGTTACTGTAGCGTATTATTGGTAGGCACTATTTTTGTATACTACCTAATCAGTACTAATTACTTACTTCATAAATTTTGTAAGTAAGTCGTTTACGTAGGTGATTGATAGCAGACTGCACGTTCTGCTTCATATACCAGAGGAATAGGTAGAACTGCAGCTAAACAAGTTATTTAAAAAGTATTTTTGATTTGAATAAACGAATCATTCTGCATCATAAAACATTTTCAGATAAAAACTCAATCAAAACCAACACTATAGCTATAAACAACATTTTTAACAGACTCAAACAACTTGTGACGCTTAAAAACTGTCTCTGCTGCTGTTCTATTTTTTGGGCTTATTGACTCCCAAAGCCACAATTGATGTTTTATATTTTCTGGTAGGCGATTTAAACCACGCATATTTTCTTTTATTGACTATCTAGATTTCGAAAAGTAGTCCACATCCTTGAATTTCAGAATCAAATGATAAAAGACAAGAGATAATTACCAGACATATCATCGCGCTGCAGCCGGAATATCTAGAATGGATCACGTGTCGGGTATTTACGAATATGCGACGCACGTATCGATACGCGACTGTTGGACAGCTTTAAGTTTTACGGAGAAATCTATTATGAGGAAACAAAGGCTAATGGGTGCATAGAATTACGGGGGTGGAGCCGTATAAATATGCGAAGGTCAAAAAATTAATGTTCAGCTTTTCACACCCCCTGCAACCTCTCACCCATAATTTTTCACCCCTACAAATTTTTCTTTGATGAGGAGCTTCAGATACTTCAAAAAACGAAGTTTGAGCTTTTGTCATTTTTGTCCACATAAGTTCAATATACTGTGTGTATATGTGATCATTATAGCTACACATACCTGTGGAATTGTGCGGATTTGCAAGAAAATAGAATATAAAATCAATCAGCAGGGATATGACACGCTGTATAACTTTGGCACTTATAACCAAAACGATGGGGTGATAGTTTTTGT